GGAACTTGTCGTATTCACAACATTCTCAAAGATGTATAAACAAGTCATTATTAGCATGTGTCACGGTAAAATCTCTAGTAAGAGATTCGGCCTGCTCTATCATCACCTATTCTACCCATTACCACGTCTTTATATTCAAGTACTGCAGCAACAACAACAACTACTTCCAGACGTCTGAGGTCTGGCCCTAGCTTCGGTATGGGGCGGACGTGTTGAATCGGCGCTCCAGCAGTTGGTGTTGTTTGCCCGTTTCGGCTGGTTGGGGGCGGGTGTGTCTCTGCTCGCCTGTGCTGACGTGGCGTTACGATGGGGGTCCCTCTACCCCCTGTCGTCCGGGCTCAGTCTGTGGGACTAGAGTTCTCTGTGCGGGCTGGTTACCCGGAGATTGCCCTGGCTTGTGAAATGCTCTCTGTCCCTGTGTTTGCGATTTATGGGGTCGAGTTGGTAACGGCCCGTAGGGCAATTGTGAAGTTTGCAGAGGAGGTGGCGTATCGCGATTTTCTCCGGCGATACGAGGGGCGGACACTGCCCCTGCCGGATGGTGCGGGCACTGTCACCCTCTCGGATAGGAGTGGTGCACTTACTTACATCAGTGTGCATGGGGCTCCCTTGGAGTTTCCAGAGGCTCTGCTACGGCGGTATTTCGGCCGGTTTGGCGCAGTTGTTAACATTCGCACCCTGGGCATGAGACTCCGGGCGGATATTCCGTCCTCTGTGCGCCTTATGGGGTACAACGTTCGGGTGTTTTACGCCCGTCAGCCGCGGACGTGTTATCGTTGTGGTCTTTTGGGCCATCAGGCTGCTGACTGTTCTGCGCCTCCTGTTGTACCAGTGAATCTCTTCAGTGAGGAGGATTTTCCGCCCCTTCCTGTGGGGGATGATTCGGTGGGTATGGACATCTCTTCGGCTGAGGAGGTGCCCTCTGCAGCAGCTGTTGCTCCGCCTGTTGCGCCCCCTGTTGTTGCCGCATCTCCTCCGGAGGTTGGGTCCTCGCCTAGTGCTCCAGCTGGTGTCCCTGAGCCTCTTCCGCCTGCCGTTTGCTCAGACCCTTCGTCTTCCAGTTCTTCCTCTGCTGTGTCTGTCCCGGTCCCTGCGCCCTCGCCGTCTGTTCCGGCTGTGCTGGGGGCTGAGGTGGTTCCGGCATTCCCGCCTGTGCCTGGCCTGGTGCCCCGTGTGGTTGAGGAGGCTGCCGTGCTGCGGCGTGCGTCGGTTTGCTCGGTAGGTGCTGCGCGGGTCGCTGAGTCTGCCTCCGGGTCTGATGATGTGCGGCCCGAGCCTAAGCGTTCCCGGCGTTCTTCTGCGTGGGCTGATGTTGGCGAATTCGACGAGTGTCGTCCTTCCGTTGACGGTGGAGTGGCTCCGGATGTGGTGCACACTACGGTGGTGGCGGAGGTACACTTGCCTGAGGATGCCGGTGCCGGCGTTTCGGCCTCACCTTCTGGTCCGGTGTCCGAGGGTCCTGCTTCAGGTGCGTTGCCTGCGTCGGATGGCTCCGGTTCTTCGTGGGCGGTGGTTCCCCGTGCTGTAGTTGGTGGTGAGCGGGGTGGCCTGGTAGTGATGTTGAGAAAGGATGCTCGCTCTGGATGTTCTGTGGCCCCTTCCTCGTTACCCGTTTCCTCGGCAGCGGTCTTGCCGCCTCTTCCGTTTCCTGCAGTCCCTTCCGTGTCTCCTGCGATATCTGTGGAAGTGCTATCGTCGCAGCGTCCAGCACCTGCTCCGATGAAGAAGGCGTGGCAGGCTCGGCGACCCTCGTCCGCTTCTCCGGTGTCATCTGCTTCCTCGAAGGGCATGGTTAGCGCTCCCCAGCCTCGTTATGCGACTTGCGTCAGTGACCTTGGGCGTTGGCCGATGCCGCCAGATATAGATGTTCCCGAGTTTATGATACCCGCTCGAGAGCGGGGGATCAAAAACCCTACCGACCTTGAAGATCTAGTCTGGGAAGCTTACAAGGCGAAATATCCTCATGATCTTTTCCCGGAGAAGTACATTTCTCACGAGGTTCCTCGCAAGTGATTTCTATGTATTTTGTGTTGCCTGGTTGTGGGGTGTGTATGTGAGTGGGTGGGGTGGGTATTGTTTCCCGGTTCCTGCGTGCTCCGGTTTGTATTGTGGGTTTTTTTGTATGGCTAGTGGGGGGTGTGCGGTTCCTATGCGTTTGTGTGTTCGGTTGTGGATGTCGTGTGTGCTTGTTTGTCATCTTGTGTGCCCTTCAGGCTGTTGGGGTGTGCTCTTTGTTATGTGTGCATTATGTGTGTGAGGTGTTAGCGGACTTGTTTTGTATGTTTCTCGCCTCTCTGTTTCCCTTATGTTTGTATTGCGCTGTGTTTATATTTGTGTTATGTTTGTATATGCATTTTTGTTTTGTGGTCAGCCCTTCTGGCTGGTCTTCTCTTGATTTGTTCCTTTGTCATTGTACATGTGTGTGCTTTGTACTTTTGTTCTATGTTATATTTGTTCTGTTTTTATTGTACATTATACGCATGCTTGCATGTAAAAAAAAAATAAAAACAAAAAACAAAAAAACTTCCAGACGTCTAGACAGTACTACCAGTCTCCCTCCTTCACCACTACCCGTCACCCCACCTCGCACCTGGCGACGCCCCGCAAGTTCACACCACCCGAAACAAACAGTTTAACAGCCAGTTAATAGTTAAAGAAGTCCCCAGCGCCATTTACCCGGCCGTCATAGTGTATAAATAGGGCTGCCTAGCCCACTACGAGTTAGATTACTCCTGAGTGCTCTTGCTGAGTAGACCTGTTAACATACCCCGGTGTGGTAACAGAGCTATTCACTTTGACTCAGTATTCCTGCACCATATTTTCTACTATTAACATAACAAATTTAATTGTCTATTTATCTTGTTTAATTTGCACTCTGTATAAAGCCAAGTTTAAAGAACGTTTTTATTTTGGAATTTGTTTAAAGTAAGATTTCTATTAAAGTAAAGTATTTCTAAATTTTTGTTCTGTATGTTTTCTCTTACAGTTAACCTCACTGTGAAGACAACTTGCAGTTTAACTTATTTTTTACTTTTATTTTTAATTTTGTGACAGGCATTCCATCTGCCTAGAGAAGACTGCAATAACACCTATTTTTACTGTCACACATGTTTTAACTGGAATCATGTTCCAGGCAAGATTCTTTTATTCCCTAACTGAAGAGTACTCTACACTCTAGTTTGCATATATCAGAAATTCCAAGAACTTGGGAACACAATTAAAATCATATTAAAAGTAAGTGAATCAATATTTATTTAGCATGATAAATACCAGAATTCAAGCACTCGAACTGAAGGTTCATTATATCCAGATAAACAATGTGAGCCACCACACAGAACTTTGAGTCACTACAGCTGGCTGCCCCTAGAGATCACACAACATCTTGGTACACGAAATAAGTCACCTTTCATGTTCAACTCACCAAGTGTCTGCCTATAGCTGGATAGAGAGGGGGGGAGGGTCTGTAGTTGACAGACTGTCCCACCCTGTCCAGCTGACAGCCTCCCTGGATATGCTGTCCTCTGTTCTGCTCTGCTGGCTGTTCTCCTGTATGTCTCGAGTGTTCAGTACCCCTGGGTATATATTGGGGACCAACTAGCTAACTCCACCCACAAGTAGATAGCCCCAGGCACTCTACCAAGCCACACCTTAAACTGGCGGCTTGTTAGAAGGACCCACCCGGATACCGGGCTACAATTATGAGCTTAGCAGCAACCAGGTCAACTTCACATGACCTGCCCTAGGTCACTTGTTGGTCATTAACACTCTAGAGGTGTGACTTTCTTAATTACTAGGGGCCGCCAACCTGGCGCCTCTCAAACTTGTCTGTGACTCCTGTACTATGTATGTATTAAATACAAAACACCTTTGCGGTGTTACACTTAGCTGGGGTTTTAAGTGAGAAGGTGTAGTAACAAGGTGGAGGTGTTACATCCTGCTAGGTGAAGAAAGGGATCAGGTGAAACAAATGTGCCCATTTCCGTCCCGCCCGGGGATCGAACCCTGGATACTCAACTGTAAGGCAAAAACGTAGCCACTGCACTATGGAGACATATGACGGCTTCTGCTCTCACATTCCGTTTTCGTTTAGCCAGTCGATATATATAAATGTCAAAATTTAGTTTACTACTCAAATTTAATATTTGTAGTTCGCTATATGGCAGTTAGGGAAGGGGGGAAATTATCAAAGGAAAGTGTTAAGCCATTACGACTATATAGCACTTGGAAGGGGTCAGGATAAGGATTTGGGATGGAACGGGGGAAAAGGAAAGATGCCCAACCACGTGGACGGTCCGGGATTGAACGCCAACTATATGGAAGTTAATATACATAAATGTTGTCAGTATGCCATGTAGTTGACTGGGGAGATACCCCATGCAGGCCAAGGGAGAGTTCCTACAGCCACAGCAACACGTTGATAAGCAAGCAGTAAGTATCCTGTAGTCCTAAACATAGGCCAGGACTAGTGTAAACTCTTAGTGTGAATATACTGAGACACGAGGTACACCTCTAGTACATGTTTCCCTTGCTGGTTCAATCCAGCCTAGCAGGTGATATACTCTCTCCTGGGAGGGTCGCTGCTGGAGAGAGTATGACCCCTTCACGTTTTTTTTATCGGCTGGATAAAGGAGCAAGTGAATTCTTACTCCTGTTAGCAGGCACAGAACCCTCCCTCACGTAGTTCATGGCAAGTCTTACCCTAATAGTTTTCCCAACACAGGACCCGAAAATCGGTTCACAACAAATTCTCCAGTTACTGCCCCCTGGCGACCTATATGGCCAATGCTGGCTAAGTGCTTTCTCCTCAAAAGTACCTTACCTTGCCCCTCGATGTCATATACCAAGGACTGGGGAGAGACAATTCTCCCTGGAATATATATATATGAGATGTTGGAATTTATATAATGATTATGTATGTAACCAGATCATTGGATCTAGTTATATTGCATCCAAACGGAAGTCAAATGATAGAGTGATAGAGCAAGTGGTGTGAGGCTTACCTTGAGGTCTGGTGGGTGGACGACACCCTGCCGCTGGAGTGAGAGTCTGAGGGCTCCTGTCAGTGCCGCCAACAGCACATCGTTTAGACACGTGCGGGTGACCTGCTTGATGCGCACCACGCGACTCACAGACACTCCCGCCGACCACACCACCACCTGCCCGCCGCTTCCCTCCTCCCCCCACACTGTGTACGCGCCGCTCTCACTCGAGCTGCTGGCCGCCATTTTTCTGCTGCAGCCACAGCAGGAGCCACTACTCTTGGCCACCCGAGGAGGAGGCAGAGACGACCCGCGACGCACCGTCAGCGGGTTCACTTCTGGCCGCCACCACCACAGCCACTTTAATGCCATCATGGGACCCACTAGTAAGGCTTTCAAGAGGTTCATTCCATAGGTAGTTCCACCGAAGTGAGGCTTCTGTGGGATGTGCATGATCTGGTTGTCTGAGAGGGACTGGCACAGCACCCTGACCAAGGACATGCCGTCAGATATAGACTGGTGAAGGCGACACACCAGCACAGTGTCTCTGCTGCGGCCATAGTCGTGCAGCACTATGATCTCCCACAGTGGCCGAGTGCCTGGCAGTGGCTGTGACAAGAGAGAACTCACGTACTTTTGAAGGGCTCCTTCTGTTGCTATGTTAGGCCCTGAGAACACATGATTATGCAGGTTAAAGTTATGGTCGTGGACCCAAGCGGGCCCAGCAGGCATGAAAGACACCATCTGGGTAAGACGCGGGTACATGAGGCTACCGGCGCCGTTCTTGGCCTCGACAACGCGCGTCGCCAGCAACTGCTTGATACGCTTCAGGTTCATGGAGGCATCGATGATGAGCACACTGTGGATGACCGAGTGGTTGTCGACATCCTGTAGTAGGAACTGCGCATCGTGGGGTGCTACATAGTCACTATGGAAGGCAGCAAAGCAGTTTCTGGTCCTGGGTAGTCTGCCCAAGGCCACAAGGGCCTTCAGGAACAAGACGACGGGCAGTGAGAGTATGAGTGCCAGGCTCAGTGGCACGCTCATCAAACAGGTGAGCAGCACGCCCGTCACTGACCTTAGGAAAGACAATATCACACTCTGCTCCAAAGGGTGATTGATGCGCATTATGGGAGCAGATTTCAGGTACTCTGGTAATATGGACTCGACAGACCGTCTTCTTTTGCGCTTCCAGGCCTCTGAGAGCTGCTTCTCTGTTTTCCTCTCCTCTAGCGCCTCCACGTTGATGTATGTCTCCTGCAGCTTGACGTGGTTGAGCGAGAGATCAGTCTCCCGGCGTGAGAGTTTGGGAGAGGTCGTGCTTTTAGCTTGGTGAGTGATGGCATCTGGAGAGGCATGGTTGCTGGCCGAGGGCGTATGGTTGCTGGCCGACGAGGCGTGGTTGGTGGTCGAATGTACATGGTTGTGGGAGCCGTGGATGGGTGAGATCCTGTGGCGTTCCTGTGAAGAGCGCCGCGGCGCCACCTCCACGGGTGAGAGGCAGGAAGGGGTTTCGTAGGGTGAGACCCTAGATGGGTCGACGGGTGACAGGGGAGGTGGGTCTTTGGATGAGCGTCGAGGTGGATCATAGAGTGTGAACTTTGGCTGATCGACGGGTGACAGTCTGGGTGAGTGCCTGGGTGGGTCGCGAAGTGGGTCATAGAATAAGTGCCGTGGTGGGTCGTGGGGTGAGTGCCTGGGTGGGTCGTGGGGTGAGTGTCGGGGCGAGTGGCGAGGTGGGTCGTGGGGTGAGTTACACGGTGGGTCATGGTGTGAGTGCCGGGGTGGGTCGTGAGGTGAGTGTCGGGGTGGGTCGTGGGGTGAGTGTCGGGGTGGGTCGTGGGGTGAGTGTCGGGGTGGGTCATAGTGTGAGTGTCTGGGTGGGTCGTGGGGTGAGTGTCTGGGTGAGTTACGAGATGGGTCGTGGGGTGAGTGCCGTGGTGGGTCATGGTGTGAGTGCCGGGTTGGGTCGTTGTGTGAGTGCCGGTGTGGGTCGTGGTGTGAGTGCCGGGGTGGATCATGGGGTGAGTGTCGGGGTGGATCATGGGGTGAGTGCCGGGGTGGATCATGGGGTGAGTGCCGCGGTGGATCATGGGATGAGTGTCGGGGTGGATCATGGGGTGAGTGCCGAGGTGGATCGTGGGGTGAGTGCCGGGGTGGATCATGGGGTGAGTGCCGCGGTGGATCATGGGGTGAGTGCCGAGGTGGATCGTGGGGTGAGTGCCGCGGTGGATCGTGAGGTGAATGCCTTAACTGATCGTTGGATGAGTACCAGGATGGGTCATGGGATGAGTGCGAGTGGTGGGGAGCGTGGGGGGTTGGCTCATGGGGTGTAAGCGTGGATGGGAGCGCACCACGCGGGGAGGAGGAGGAGGAGACGCGGGACCCACACATCAGGGGCGGTGAGAGGCGGGCGGCAGACAGATGCAGGGATAACGTGCCGCCATTCTGGTAGCAGGCCATTCTCCTCCCGACCACCGTATCATTTCATCCTGGAAGGAAAACACAAGAAGTGACTTTAGCGCACCATAACACCAAGCTACTTCCACCATAATATATTTTAACCTAAAAATTATGTGCAATTACCTAGCAGAATAAATAATGCCCTTTTGAGGGAGAACAATGAATGAAAACCCAGAGAATACACGATAGGAGGATAAGGATTTAGGATAGGACGGGGGGGGAGGGGGGGAATAAATTGTTTAGCACTTCAGTGTTTTTCGTGTATTTAGCCATTAAGTTATCTTCTTGAGGTTATCTTGAGATGATTTCGGGGCTTTTAGTGTCCCCGCGGTCCGGTCCTCGACCAGGCCTCCACCCCCAGGAAGCAGCCCGTGACGGCTGACTAACACCCAGGTACCTAATTTACTGCTATGTAACAGGGGCATAGGGTGAAAGAAACTCTGCCCATTGTTTCTCGCCGGCGCCTGGGATCGAACACAGGACCACAGGATCACAAGTCCCGCGTGCTGTCTGCTCGGCCGACCGGCTCCCCAGTTACTTAAATTACTTAAGTTTCTGAATGATATTCTAACTTTTGCCAGTGTAGAGTACGCTGCTGTCGTTATGCTATTTATATGTGCCTCAGGAGTTAGATTAGGTGTTAAGTCCACTCCCAGGTCTCTTTCTCGAATTGTCGCAAGTAGGCAGTTCCCCTTCATTGTGTACTGTCCCTTTGGTCTCCTATCACCTGATCACATATCCATAACTTTACATTTGCTCGTGTTGAACGCCAGTAGCCATTTCTCTGATTATCTCTGGAACCTGTTCAAGTCTTCTTGGAGGATTCTACAATCCTCATCTGTCACAACTCTTATTAATTTTGCGTCATCCGCGAACATCGACATGTAGGATTCTACTCCTGTAAACATGTCATTAATGTATATTAGAAATAGAATTGGTCCCAGCACCGATCCTTGAGGTACTCCACTCGTTACCGACTTCTCGCCTTCTAGTATTCACCAAGTTGTGTTTGCGGGGGTTGAGCTTTGCTCTTTCGGCCCGCCTCTCAACTGTCGTATACACTTGTATACGTGTATGTGTGTATTCACCTAGTTGTATTCAAAGGCTGTAAGCCTAGACAGAATCTCACCATTTATACTAAAAGAAGGCGCAGAAGCACTGTGCCTACCACTCTCAATGGTGTATAACAAGTCACTTGGTAACAGCAGAACTGCCCAAAATTTGGATGGCGGTTTAGTCCCGATATTCACTAAGGGAGAAAGATAGGAGGCACTAAACTACAATCCTGTGTCACTAACCTGTACAGCGCGCGAGGTGATAGGGAAGATTACGAGAAAAAATAGTACAACATCTAGAGAGAAAGAACTTTGTAACACACTATCAGCATAGGTTCAGGGAGGCAAATATTGCCTCATAGTTGAATAGAGTTCTATGACCAAGCAACAAAAATTAGGCAAGAAAGAGAAGGGTGGGCAGACTGCATATTTTTGGATTACCAGAAAACTGAGTGCCCAAATGAGCCGTAGATACATTAGAAAGATTTTTTCAGTGTCAGAATAGTTAATAAATGGATCTACTACATCACTAGGAAGTCATGTGGTGGGGGCAGACTCCATACACAGTTTCAAATGTAGATATGCCTATGTAGCCTATATATGCCTATGTGCCTATATATATGTAGATATTTCCTGCCCTAAACGCTTTACGTAATAGTGGCTTTAGGCATTGTATGTACTAATTCTATCTATAAAGCGATCAAATTTTGGAAAATCTCTTGTATGTATGTACCTTACCTGAATAAACATTTATTTATTTATTTATTTATTTATTTATTTATTTATTTATTTATATAGAAGCTAACAGGCTCAGGAACCTGTAGACGAGACAGTTGAGAGGCCGGATCCAAGAGCCGAAGTTCAACCCCCGCAAGCACAAGTAGGTGAGGAGAGAAGCAAAGTCTGGGGACTGGGGTACTGTGTTAGGTACACACATCATGCCATCATCCTGGGCCACACCTGGGTTGTGTGGACACACACATCATCCTGGGCCATACCTGGGTTGTGTGGACACACTTACACATCATCCTGGGCCATACCTAGGTTGTGTGGACACACTTACACATCATCCTGGGCCATACCTAGGTTGTGTGGCCACACTTACACATCATCCTGGGCCATACCTGGCTTGTGTGGACACACTTACACATCATCCTGGGCCATACCTGGGTTGTGTGGACACACTTACACATCATCCTGGGCCATACCTAGGTTGTGTGGACACACTTACACATCATCCTGGGCCATACCTGGGTTGTGTGGACACACTTTCACATCATCCTGGGCCACACCTGGGTTGTGTGGACACACTTACACATCATCCTGGGCCATACCTGGGTTGTGTGGACACACTTACACATCGTCCTGGGCCATACCTGGGTTGTGTGGACACACTTACACATCATCCTGGGCCATACCTGGGTTGTGTGGACACACACATCATCCTGGGCCACACCCGGCTGGTGTGGCCACACTTACACATCATCCTGGGCCATACCTGGGTTGTGTGGACACACACACATCATCCTGGGCCACACCCGGCTGGTGTGGCCACACTTACACATCATCCTGGGCCATACCTGGGTTATGTGGACACACACATCATCCTGGGCCACACCCGGCTGGTGTGGCCACACTTACACATCATCCTGGGCCATACCTGGGTTGTGTGGACACACACATCATCCTGGGCCACACCCGGCTGGTGTGGCCACACTTACACATCATCCTGGGCCATACCTGGGTTGTGTGGACACACATCATCCTGGGCCACACCCGGCTGGTGTGGCCACACTTACACATCATCCTGGGCCATACCTGGGTTGTGTGGACACACACATCATCCTGGGCCACACCCGGCTGGTGTGGCCACACTTACACATCATCCTGGGCCATACCTGGGTTGTGTGGACACACACATCATCCTGGGCCACACCCGGCTGGTGTGGCCACACTTACACATCATCCTGGGCCATACCTGGGTTGTGTGGACACACACATCATCCTGGGCCACACCCGGCTGGTGTGGCCACACTTACACATCATCCTGGGCCACACCTGGCTGGTGTGGCCACACTTACACATCATCCTGGGCCATACCTGGGTTGTGTGGCCACACTTACACATCATCCTGGGCCATACCTGGGTTGTGTGGCCACACACATCATCCTGGGCCACACCTGGCTGGTGTGGCCACACACATCATCCTGGGCCACTACACTTCTCACACTCACCCACCACACCGTCCTCCTAAGGTGCCCCAACGTCAAGAAACTGTCGTACTAAAGTGCCCGTAACCTAACCTACCAGAGGACCCAAAACAGAAAACGGAACATTACGTCAATTTCGCGAGTCGCCTCCATTTTCTAGTACGACGATTCTTGTCTTTCGGGGAGCCGGTCGGCTGAGCGGACAGCACGCTGGACTTGTGATCCTGTGGTCCTGGGTTCGATCCCAGGCGCCGGTGAGAAACAATGGGCAGAGTTTCTTTCACGCTATGCCCCTGTTACCTAGTGTTACGACCCTGGGTTCTCCAGTGGAAACCAGAGGTCAAAATTGAGCTATTAAACTTCCTGGTAGCACAGTTGGGCATCTAGAATGTCAATTGTTTGTATCTTCCCTGCCAGACGTAAGACTATTATTGTTTCTCAAAGAGCATTTAAAGACTGAGCTGGGGGTTGATTATTAAATAATAACATAGGCACCAACTTTGCTTACTAATACTTTCTAATCATTCATAAAGTAACAATACGTTGCATAGGGGAAGATCTTTAATGTGCTTAGCTGCACGATCAATTAGGCTCCTCCCGGCACCACAACATGAGGGAGGCAGCTGGTGGCTAGCTCGGTCTTCTCTGGCTGGTGTGGTGCGGTATAGACCTACTCTGTGGCTGCTCCCCTACTCTCCTTCCTTCTCCTCTTACTTATTTCCCTTACCTGAAGTTCCTGTATCCTTAAGCTAAGTACAGGGCATTAGTGAGTGTGCCTACTCTGGTAGTAACGATTGGTGAGACCTGGGGATAGTATTTTGCCAGTGTTTGGGTACCCCTAAGTGTTGTGTTTTGTATTAGGGTCCCACGTGGTTTCACTACCCTAAGCTGCATCCAGCTTCAGTGCTTATCCAGTAGTACTTTACCCTAGCTTGTTATTAGTGTAAACCTTGTATCCTGCCTACGTGGACCAAGGCTTTTAACGTAAGATAGTGTGGTAAAATTATTATTATTGTTATTGGTGTGAGTGTATATGGGGGGTTGTTAACGGGTTAATAAATAAGTACATGAATTACAGAGTATCTCTTCTTCCAAGGTGGGAGCGCAGTGATCAACCCTTAGACTAACATATTTGGTCTTGCAGCAAGTTATTACTACTGTGGATAGTTTATTTTGGGGGCCGGGCCTTTTAGCTCTCCCATATTTGATACTCCTGTCTTCTAACTACCTATACCCCTTAATAGTACCAGTACCCCATAGAAGCCCCACTCATATCATTTATAACACCTAGCAGTAAAATAGTCAGCTGTCACGGGCTGCTTCCTGGGGGTGGAGGCCTGGTCGAGGACCGGGCCGCGGGGACACTAAAGCCCCGAAATCATCTCAAGATAACCTCAAGATAACCTCGGTAGAGAATACGTCAAAATGCGACGTTCTATTAGAAGGACGGGTTTGGTGCCCCCAGTACGAGCAAGTTTATTCTCTGTGTTTATCAAACATGTCACCGCTGAGTTTACAGTCACGTCTCCTTTCACCTGATGCACCTGTTTACCCAGCAGCATAATAGGTGTCTGGGTGTTAGGCAACGGTTGTGGGGATCCCGAGGAAGATCAGAATTTACCGAGCGGGATAAGCCTAAGAACAGGCTACCTGTTATTTTGAGAGGTTATCTTGAGATGATTTCGGGGCTTTAATGTCCCCGCGGCCCGGTCCTCGACCAGGCCTCCACCCCCAGGAAGCAGCCCGTGACAGCTGACTAACACC